ACCAAAATGTTGATCTGTTATATATGGTTTAGCGTGTGTCATCCTGACGGCGTCACTGGCCAAGACTCGGTAACACTTACATGCAAGCTGTAGAGGTATTATAGAGGATATAGCTGACTGCGGCGTACAACACCAATATCCACAAACAATTCTCCTTCATTTGAGACAAGACAGAGATATACTCGACCGCACGTGCATAGTATATATACTCAAGAACAAATGGAAAGGGCCAATGGAGTTTTTCATAAAATGATGGTGACATTTTAAACAAATCGACAGAAATTCCACACTTTTGATAAATAGCGTTATGGAACAAGTACATAGTGAGTTTGGATTCTAGCGTTGAGAATGTCGAGTTTGTCTTCTCCTCAAACTGTTTGTGTATTCTAGTTGATATACAGGACATGTACTTGATATTGATATTGATATTGATATACAGATATACTCGATCACAGTCACGTTCTGTGTGGCAATAGGACACGCTTACTATAGGCCATGTCCTTTATCGGGCCACAATGCTAACTTCAAAGTTTCAGAACCGAAGACAAAGAAAATGTATAAAGATAATCCGCCGAAGTCAGCATACTGACTTGAGACTGGAATTGATGTTTTAGCCTGGTATACAATTAAACAACGTTTGTTTTTGTCTCTTGTCCGCCTCCTGTACGACGTCAATCCAATCAACCCTCGCGTGAACGAGGATTTAATCACAGCGGCCATTCCACAAGTCGATTTAAAGTCTAGTGTATTTCTGTGTTGAAGAACACGAGCACCGAGACAATTATGCTGCTGAATAACGGCACTGTGAATTGCGATCCTGTTACTTTCCCAGATGACTCAGCCTTGGTGTTTTAATCAGTTGGGATTCCATCTGAATATTATTCCAAAATGATTGGTTAATTAGCTGAACGCATCTCTTTTTGGTGTTTTGTAACGTGTAGCAAGATCATTCGTTATGCTTTCAGTTCACACTGATATTCTAAAAAAAAAATATTTTCATGGAAATACTCTAAAATTCATAATAAAAAGTTTAAGCTCATAATATTTATTCAGCAGTCTGGTGTTGCAAGACTACAATACCAGATCAATTACAGTAAATGTATATAACATACCTCTTGTGTGGCCTGAAATTCTGCCTTTCCTAATAATATTTGCGTTGTGAATAACACCCCAAGATAACAATGTGATTAATGGACGATAATGTTTTGTTTACACGCATATTATTTCTATTTTAAAAAACAGTCTTCCATTTGGGCACTGGCATGTAAAGGCCAACTGTGAATTAGGAAAAAACACCCACCCAGCACGTCCCAGTAAACAGGTATTTTTTACTTAAATTGAAAACAATTTGTCTTTGACACTGTTGAATTGTTTAGCTGAGTTTTTACAACCTATGAGTAACTGGTGCATCAAAGTAACAGCAAAATTTGAATGAGTTTTTCAATGGCAATTCATACATAAACATCAAAGCCAATGAATCGCCCCTGGATTAACCTTAAACGAACTCATTTGTCGAAGGTAATATTCCTCATCTTAGACGTGCCTTTGAACTTGATTAATTTCTTAATAACTATTTACTTTTGGTGATGTCCGTAAGCGATTGTTGTTTTACGGCGTCTCCGTACAAGAAGCTAAAACCCGTCGTGTTCAAATACGATGATGCATCTTTGAATATTTACACCTGGAATCTACTAAATCATTGTGTTGTGGTAGAATGGAGATAAACCATTTGCTTTTTTGGTGTTTTTTTCAATTTAGAAGTTCCGAATTTCGATGTTTTACCTACATGCATTTTTTTAAAAATTCGAAACCTAAGGCTATCGAATGTAACTTATACAGGTATCTAATCTACGTTTAGACAGTAAATGACATATTTTATAACAGTCATGGCAATAATTATTTGACTATACTTCTAATAGCTTCCTCTGTCTCTCTCGAAGATATAGGATTCTTAAACCAATTATTTATCAAGTATTTGCAGTAGTTTAGACATGTATGAAAATTTCCAAAAGGCGAGGTGACCCCCACTGAGATACCATGCCGCAGTTTAACATGATTACCCCACTCGGACACAGTATACCGACTCCGAGCCGACCAGTCCTTGTTTTATTCCCTTAATGCTGAGCGCCAGTCAGGGTAACAACAAGTACATTCTTTCAATGTCGTTTGGTATGACGTGCCCGGGGATCAAACCACCGATCTTCCGGGCAGACGCTCTCTATCTGCATGGTGACCCGTGAAGATCCGGGGAAGAATAGGTCCTCAGCAACCCATGCTTGCCATAAAAGGCGATCATGCTTGTCGTAAAAGGCGACTAACAGGATCGGGTGGTCAGGCTCGCTTGACTTGGTTGAGAAAAGGCATCGATCCCAATGGCGTGGATCGATGCTCATGATATTAATCACTGGATTGTCTGGTCCAGACTCTTTATTTACAGACCGCCGTCATAAAGCTGGAATATTGCGGAGTGCGGCGTTAAACAACAAACCAACCAACCAACTATCTGCATGGTAAAGACCACGGTTGCGGTCGATTTCCAAACGATATGTTTGAGTAGTGCTCAACTTTGTGTGTATAAATAATTGCCTACACACAAGATCATTTTCCACGGACGTCAATATAAAGGCAAATCCTTGTTATATCCTGAAGACGTATGTATACACTTCTTGATATTTAGATTCGTTTCGAACTTTGGGGTCTCAGGTTTTAACAGCAACAGCTAGGTCTGCAAGGTCACTTATGATAACGCTACATATAATTTCTCCATCAAAACTGCTCAGGTTGAAAAAAAACATCGATCAAATTATCAGTTTTATGACTTGTGGCAGACTAAATTTTTGTTTCCACTTTGAAAGCGTCCGGATGAACAAGTCTCAGTTGTATCACATCGATGTTCATGCGTTTCAGAGCTGCACTAGCATCAGATTGATGTTGGAGGCGTGTGTAATGTTGCAAATTGCCAGTCGGCGTTAGGTATCATTTCTTTCCACGTTAACGAAATCCATGAAATCCGGAAAATGTCGCACGGCCGTGAGTAGTGTTTAGCTGAACTGATCGTTTCACACGGTCTGAGCAAAATAGGAAAATGGAAAACGTGCAAGTTGGTTGGTTGCGCGCACACCACTTGAGTCACCCATATATGTCCCATTTGTCCAAACGTGTGCTGGCGAAAACGTCCCCAAGTTGGTGAACACGTCCCGGTTAAATAAACCGACAACGAATATAAAAGAAATCGAAGATTGTGTATTTAACCACGTCGCATTTCTTTTGCTTGGGACCACTTTATCCATAATCCGTCAAACCATTGTCTATATCTACTGAATGAATAACAGAAAAGTTTCTATTGCCATTCATATTTTTTGGGCCCATTTTTTTCGTAGCTTAGTTGCTCACAAACTGACATGATTATAAAGATAATTGAAGCGTCCCGTAAATAATTCTACGACCGTCAGAAGAGGTTCAAGTATGGCCTAAGGGGAGCAACCCACGATTAGGACATCGACGGCAACGCGCAACGAGCCTTGGAGTTACCCCCCTTGGTGACAGGTCCGTCTTAAAGGCATACCGTCGGTCGGTTGGTTGGTTGGTTTAACGCCGCACTCAGCAATATTCCAACTATATGACAGCGATATTTTTATGAAATTGTGTGCTCAGTATTCACAACAAATTATCCTTAAATATATTCATGATCCATAACCCTTTCTTGTTCAGTATATATCATCAATAATTGTTAAATATCATAATCATTGTGACAATCTTATTACCCAACACGTTCATCTGGGAAAAATTATATTAGTATTTGTAACCCCAAGACTTTAGTTTGTAACAGTATTTCCACAGGAAGCATGTGTTTAATTAGAAAGTCAGGATGTTTCTACAAACCTCAGATACTGTAGTGCTTACTCTCTGTATACTGACAAAATATGAATATTGCAGAAAAGGTTTAAACTGTGTTCATCCAGACCTGGAGGCCTTGTATTATACAAGAACCGTACTTATATACATATGAAGGTACAACACATTGTGTACACACTTAGTTATTAAAGGGGTTTCACTGTACTGTGGAACGAGGGGAGTTGAAATAGGATTTAATGGAGCTATCAAGATTATTGCACTTATACATGCAAGTATGTGTGTGGCTGCTTCTACTAGTCTGGACTAAGTCCAGTGAGATACCATGCCGCAGCTTAGCATGAATACCTCACTCAGTATACTGACTCCAAGTCAGCTAGTTCTTGTTTTACCCTCTTAAGCTCCAGGCTGGGAAACAACAAGTACCATCTTTTAATGTCTTTTGACATGAGTGAGTATTGTTTTGTGCCATTTTTAGCAATATTCCAGCAATATCATGACGAGTGAACACTTAAACCACTAGGCTACCCCACTGCCCCCTTTTTACATGCCTGGGGATCGAACCCCCGACCTTCCGACCATGAAAAGATGGGTGTCGTGTGGCTGGTGTGCTTCAAACAGTCGAATAGAGGATAAAAACAACCGACAGTCTCCTATGTATGCATGTTTTATTATTTAACATATAAAGAATAACAAGTGCATATGACAGCTTTGTAGCACTTACCATGCTTACAATTTAAAGTAACATGACATGTTATGAAACCTTCAACACGTTAAAGATAATGTACTACTTGTTTGAACATTCTTCAGCATGTTCAGGGATAACCATGCACAAGAGAACTCATAATGATTGAATGTAGCTATGGGTATAAGTTGATGAAACATGGCCATGTTGCCAATCTCATTAAAATCAGATCTAAGTTCTCACTGCGCTAAACAAAGAACTGAGGACTTCCCACAAAAATACATTAAAAAAAATGAATAAAAAATTTAAAAAATGAATATCTATCTATGAAATTGGGATACGAGTGAGTGAATATTGTTTTACGCTGCTTTTAGCAATATTCCAGAAATATCGCAGTGGGGGACCCGAGAAATTGGCTTCACACATTGTACCAATGTGGGGAATCCAACCCGGGTCTTCGGCGTGATGAACGAACGCTTAAACCACTAGGCTACCCCACGGTCCCAATTGAGATACGATGACATGCATCTACCAAGTGAGCCTCACACACTGGATCCATGTGGGGAATCAAACCTGGGTCTTCAGCATTACAAGCAAGGCAGTAACCATAAGGCTACCTACTGACCCAGAACCATTTAGTAACAATCAGCTCTTGCATCACTGGCTCAGCTGACAAGGTACACAATATAAAATGATGATACTCTTCCAAGTGGATATTTCAGTAGACAGCAACTAGAAATACAGCTGTGATGAGCTTCAGGGAGTTCCATGCCGCCATTCCACCCTGTCCTGCGTTGTCTCGCTTGTAATGCCTAGCTCCTGTACCTTAGGTTCCACATAGTGTCAGGATGGTTCACCCAGGATGTCGAGCTTGTATAGAAGCTTTGAGTTACCTCCCTTATCTTGACTAATAACATTGATGGTCTCTGTTAAGCTTTGAGTTATCTCCCTTATCATGTCAGGATGGTTCACCCAGGACGTCCAGCTTGTATAGAGTTATACGACCAAAGAAATCAGTGCTGCTGTTAAAAACGATTCTCATTACCGTGGCAACAGGCGCCTCTGACAGTGTGAATGTCTGCAAAAATAAAAGAACATACCTTTTTTGTCAACTCACTGAATCAAAAAGAAAAAGAGCCATGAATCTCACTCGATAGTTCCAATACATTTGCAAAATCATGATGATCATACAGAGAAATAAAAGAGAGAGAATATGTGGGTATAAATGTTACTGTTGCTTACTGGTGGACAGAGGTTTACATCTGCGACACTAGTAGAGTACTTTGAAGAGTGACTCATAGTCCAGTAAGGAATATCAGTGACACACACACAAGACAAAAGCTACAACATCAATGTGTCAGAGGAGATGTCAAAATTGCAATGTCACTTGATTCATGGGCTAAAACATAACCTATCTTTCTGCACAAACCACAATCCTACTACACTTACTTGATGCTTTGTTTCATGGATGTGTAAGGACCAAAATGAAATTTCACCATGTTTCACATCAGTTCAGAATTCTGTGAGTAATATCAATGACCCCATTGTCTGGATCATCCATGCAAATTCTTAGCTTCATCATAGCACTCTGTGATATGTCAACAGGGTTTATGAGGTTGGCAGCCATTGCACCAAGTATTTGAAATAAAAAGAATTGCCAGGCTGCCATCAGGACACACAGACTTTAGAAGCTGCAGGCCCTGACTAAACTCTTCAGGCCCTCATTTAAAAGAACTGCAGCTTATTGTGACAAATAAATCTACAGGTAAAAATTACTGCAGGCCATAAGGATCCATTCAAATTTGAAACCACTAACCCGACATGAGATCTACCTGCCACGCGCCTACAGGCAGGCGCATATTTCGAACACTGATTGCACCATAACATAAGATAACATAATTGTTCAGCCAAAGTGAGTTATGATTCCTGAAGCTAATTACCTGCAGTGAGTTGATATCTTCAGGGTAAAAGTCTGCCGTCTTGCTCATATGAACTGCCTCCTTCCCTGACTCAACCCAGCATTCCTTGCCAGCAAACCCGCCTTGAAACTGAAGTTGAATGTCCTTCACCTTTACATCGCGGTGAAAGTCCACCAGAATCCACTGTGGACAGCCCTGTCAGCAGTAAATAAGGATAGTCTGATGAAACCATTGCTTGGTTAAACTATCAAAAGTTTGTGAGTTATCACTGGGAATTTATTGTGCACACAATTTGTGTTTTCTCCATGAATGATGAAGTGAAAGTTTATTATTATATGAAATGTACACTGTGGTAAAAGTCAGAAAGTACTGACAAATATTTCTTTATCAATGTATGACAGTGATAAGGTTGAACACTGATTTGAGCAGTATTTTAGTTCTGGTGTGACATAGGTATAAACAGAATAGAACATATCATTAATCATGTTGATGTACAAATCTGATTCATTTAATTATTAAATTGCCTCTAACCCAAAAAGTCCACTTAATCATGAGATCTTGTCTCTTGTGTGTAATATATAATCTTGTTTGATCACTATAATTAGAAAATAAATGAGTGAACAAGTATAGGTTTTACACAGCTAAAAGCAATACTCAAGCCACATCACGGTTGTGAGAAATCAAAACCATGAAGAACACTTAACCACTTCCACCACCCTGGATATATACATGAAAAGGTCATAAAAGATATTTAGCATGCACAACACTCTTATACTTTTGCCTGGTGTTAAAATCTATCCTAAAAATGCATATGTATCTGCACATAGTATTTCAAGTTGAATAAAAATCGAAGCAGGACTCTTAACATGCTTAACAAACATGACTTCCCTCCGCACCTGATCTGAGTTCCAGCATGTATCCTCCTCTCCATCTGTCAGGTACTTCTTCCCAAACTGCTTTACATCTCGGTTAAGAACTGAGCTCACCCTAGAAAAAAGGAAGAGAAAACAAATGTGTTTTAATTAATTAATGTGCAAGATCAGGTTTCAATACATCATGTACATCATGATAGATATGTTTGATAATTGTACACTGTCAATACTGGAATATTGCTGAGTGCGGTGTTAAACAACAAACAAACTAGGCTTTTAGTCTAGAATGGATTTTCTTTCCAAATCTAGCTATTTTACAAATTCTATGAGTCCATAATGAGCAGTAGCCTAGTTGGATATACATGATATAACCACTGGTGTCTATCCGGACATTATGGAAGTAAGTTTTATTTATGTCTCTGGTTCATTTTGTAGAGCCCTATGGAGATTCCAGAACAGAATATATCCCATGCTTGTTAATAAAAGTATTAAATGAGGAACAGGTGTTTACAATGTGTGACTTAGATGACTGTAGCCAAGAGCTGCGATGGGGTCTGACAGTCAAGACATGACCCAATGTCTCGACAGTCGGAGCCCTATCACAGCTCACAGCTACGATGATTGTACATCATCATGATGATCATGCCACCTGGCGGAGAGCCATGATGGGGTCCAATTGTCAAGACTGTCAGACCCCATTGCGGCTCTCGGTTACATCCCACCAAACATGAAGCGTTTCGATCATGCTTGATTTTCCTGTACCAGATTCTATTTTATACATAATGCAATTCAATCTGGAATCCATATTCAAAGTTCATGAATAATAGAACTTAATATCTACGATACACACATTTTGAGTTAACTGATTAAGGAAGAGATTGGCATTTTGATTTAAATTTTTTTTTTTACATCCAATCGGAGATGTAGAAGTGCGCCGTAAATATTACACAGTACATTGCCATACTTTTCTCAGCTGTTTCTGAAGCCAAGGGTTGATCCTTTATGTGAATCTGTGACTAATCCCATCTCTTTCTCAAACATTTGTCAAAGTCATGTTTACCAAATCGTTCACATATTGTTTTTATGAAAACAATGACCCCAAAACTATCATTTCAAATTCTAACAGACTTTTGTGTGATGAAAGTTCTGGAAAAAAAACACATGCCTGATTTGTGTTTTCTCGTGCAACAAGGGGGCAGCCATATTTAACATAAGCTGTTATTTATGTCGTAAAGTCGGTGGAAGTGGTCATTTATGACTGTGCAAACGATGTTATTATGCAAATGTTAACTAGAAACGGATGAAAAGGTCATAGATGAAAATAACGTATGTTATTAATAACAAATATTAAGTAATAAACGCGCATGTTTTTGATAACAACAATCAGAAACCAAACTGTTTGGAGCTCCTTATTGCGAAGTAGGTACTATTCCCTACATCTGTTAGCGTGCTTGGTTGGAGGTAAACGCTGATAGGAGTTTACGCATAAGCAGTCGACGTGATGTTTCTGAGAGCCTGTCACAGAGTTTATCATAAAATGCCACCTGGGAAGAAAGGACAAGCAGCTAGCAAGGCATCAAAAGCAGTATGCTTTGATGATTATATCTAAACAAATTAAAAACAAAATGATGTAACTTATGACTGGCTAGTTACCATTACTACAAGAGAACTCCACATGTCTCATAGTCTCTTTTTAGGTATGGGAAATATGGTTTGCTTCTTGTGCAAATGCAGTCTGAAACAAAGTTGCACTCAAGCAGAATTACTTATTTTAGTAGAACAGGCCCTGTTGGTGAAAATATATTCATGAAAGTAAAACTGAAAAGGGATTCTCTTAACGCTTATTATGAATGTTTCACAGTGAAAACACACCTAGGAAAAGCTTAAAATTCTTTGCAGCATTGAACATATTCACTACAATTACAAGGAAACAAGAGAATCCACTTACCATATTCGACATAATAAGTGCCCAGGGCGCTCTCAAAATTAGAAATAGGGGGCTCTTATTAGAATATTATTTTAGTGAAAAACAACAGAGTTCAAAGAGCGTAAATTTCGTGGTTTATGCTGAAATGTTTATTTTCGACAGATATATTTTCCAGAATTTAATTGCCCATAATTAAGGGTGCATATAAAAAACGTATTATGCACGAATAAAAGTCTTGTGTACACTTATCAATCAGAAGGGGTGCTAATTGGGATTGTTCATTAGCCAGTATATTAGCAAATATCGCAATGGGCGCTTGTTATGTCGAATACGGTAATTGCTCAATTTTTTAGGAAATCCGTGTACCATTAAAGTGAACTGCGATATTGATCACTTTAGAATCGGTGGAGGGTTGGGACGAGTCAAATTTTTTACTACTAAGGTACCTGACACCCTATTATCTGACCCTAAATGATAGGTCTCTAGAGTTGGGTACAAAATGTCTGAATGAGAATTGTTTTATCGCAGCCCTGGCAAAAACTATTTAGCTACATGTATAAATCGATCTGATCATGCATACACTGTAGTTGATAGGTCACACACACACACCCTTACCCAGGTAATTATATCCTGGTGTGATTTCTGGGTCAGACTTTGTGCTTGTCATAAGAGCCAATTATTAGAGCATTGGTTAGTCAGGTTCTGTGAACTGACTAAATGTCATTGTACCCAGAAGGCACTTATATTTGCACAAACTTAGTGACTGGTTTGCCAGATCCATACTCTTATTTTTAGGCCACTGGGATATAGCTGGGATATTGCTGACTGTGGCTTAAAAACAGCATTCCTTCCCTCATGCCATGGATCAGGTGGTCAGGCTTGGTGACTTGGTTGATAGAGTGTCAGTGTAACCTGATGGCATGTACCATTGCTCATAATATCAGTCACTGGATTGCTTGGTTCAGAGTCAGTTATATACAAGCTGACTAATAATGACATTAAATAACAAACATTTCTAAAACAGGCTAAAATGGAAGTATAGTCCTTATTTGCATTACATTATTACATTATCCCCCTTTTTTTTTTGTTTCATTGGGAATTTCTTAAGATACACCACTTGAGCTCTTTAATAAGGGAGGGTCGTAATCAGAATTTTTTTCATATCAAACCAATTCATATGTTTGTTTGTTGTTTAACGCCACACTCAGCAATATTCCAGCTATATGACATCCGTCTGTAAATAATCGAGTCTGGACCAGACAATCCAGTGATTGACATCATGAGCATCGATCCTCGCAATTGGGATCGATGACATGCATCAACTAAGTCAGTGAGCCTGACCACCCGTTTCCGTTAGTCGCCTCTTACAACAAGCATAGTCGTCTTTTATGGTAAGCATGAGTTGCTGAAGACCTATTCTACCTGGATCTTCATGGGTCCAATTCATATGTAATCATGTAGGTCTTGTGTAATGTCTTCAGCACAGGTACTTGTTTGTTTAGTTTTCTGAAATTGTATTTGGTCACTGCTGTTATCATGGTTATGTCAGTGATATTAACTATAAAGCCCGTGGAGATTCCGGCTCGAATTGGGTCCCAGCAACCTATGCTAGTCATAAAGAGGCAACTAAATGTATCAGCTGATTGGGCTCGACAACTTAGTTAATTTCGTGTCATTGTAACCTGATGGTGTGTACCATTGCTCATAACATCAATCACTGAATTGTTTGGACTTGATAATCTATAAGCTAGTCATATTGCTGGGATGTTGCTGAGCGCAGCAAACTAACCAAACAATACTATCAGCATAATGCATTTTTTTGAAAAGGTAAGGGAGTCTCAGCTAAATTCATAGTGGAATTTGTGTCCAGTAGTGTTTGAATCACATATCTGCAGTCAGTCTTCCTGAGGTATGTGGGTGCATGGGTGGCCAAATCGTGTAAGATGCTGCAATTCGCTGTGCAGAGTTGCACCCCTTGGGCACGCCAGAAGCATATGAATGTGGGTTCGATTCCCAGTTCACCTTGATTATGTTTTTCGCTGTGCAGAGTTGCACCCCTTGGGCACGCCAGAAGCATATGAATGTGGGTTCGATTCCCAGTTCACCTTGATTATGTTTTTAGGTGTGTAAGCCCCATTCCCATGCATGTCTGTTTCACTAATCCTTCAACATTAGCAAGTGAGTGAGTGAGTATACTTTTACAGCGCTTTTTAGCAATATTCCAGCAATATCATGGGCGACCCCAGAAATGGGCTTCACACATTGTATAGTCTGGAAGGTAATTTAAGGTACCGACGTTGACTACAATATCTGAAAAACTATCGGACCTACTCCAGTGAAAGTTGGTATGAGATTATTAAACAGTCATACATAACTTGATATTACATTTAAAGACAATCGGTGCATGAATAAAAAATCTGTCTATTTAGCTATCACTATATTTCATCAACTTTAACCACTGGGCTACCTGATTGCCCCCCTTCAACATTAAGCATACAGACCATGATATAACTGGACTACTTTTTAAAGCCCGTTAAAGCGATCTCACTCATTCACTCATGAGGTATGTTTCTTCATCAATGTGGTTATGTGTCCAGAAGTAAAGTCGAGATACTAATGGCTTTAACATGTTTAGGCAAACAAATGCATTACTCCTCTAAAGCAGTGAAATTGTTAACACTTTATTATTATGAGATGGCAAATTGAAAATGTAAGGCCACAACTACAGATCAGTCCTTTAACATGATTAATTTATATGAAAGATGAGTTGTATGTGTTTCTGAAATAAATTTAACACAGATAGTACAGGTAGTTCGTACGGAAGGTAGCATCAGATTTCATCAATAGTTTACATTACATTTGTTTCAAAACTTTTATCGCCACAGGAATTTCTCTAAACCTGCTCAGAAGGTTGATTTTTAGCCCCAAGTCTGCAACAAATGTCTGTAAACATTTCCAAATTGAAATTAAAAATTTCCCAACTCATAACAATCAACTAATGTTATGGCTTTGTAGAGGTGACTTGTATTTCACTGACAACAGGGCCAGTAATGAAATATTCTTCTTGACTTTATGTCATGTCTTCCCGAGGCAAGGGTGTTAACTGACTATAAAAGTCCAGTTTCCACCCTTGCAAAACTAGGCTGGAATTCCGGAGTTACATTTTGGCTGGACTTATGAGTCTATGCATAGTCTAATCAGAATTGGGGGTGGTCGGGTAGCCTAGTGGTTAAAGCATTCGCTCGTCAAGCCGAAGACCCGGGGTTTGATTCCCGACATGGGTACAATGTGTGAAGCCCATTTCTGGTGTCCCTCGCCGTGATATTGCTGGAATATTGCTAAAAGCGGCGTAAATCCATACTCACTCACTCTAATCAGAATTGCGTAATGAACTAGATATCCGGTTCGAAAACATGGATTTCCATGTGCAAATTTCGGTCGACTGCAGGATTTATTCAAAGCAAGTGTACCGTCAATTCTGACTTTGACAGATATTTTGCAATTCTTTTCATGTTTTTAATCAAAGTGCTTAAGTGATTTGAGGCACTTCGCGGGGTAGGACCCGTTTTATTACATTAAAGATCTTGATTAACGGCCGCCATTTTGTTTGAAGGAAATGCAAATGATATGAGAGGTTGAATCTGATTGGTCAATAAGAGCGACATAGAAGGGACATAACTTGTAATAGCTACACGTGGCGTTACAATCGAGCTTAGAAATTCCAGCCTATTTCAGAAAGGGTGGAAGCTGAACTTTGAAGTCAGTTAATTCCCTTGCCTCGGGAAGATGGTCATTGCATTGAAAGAAATGTTAAAACACTATGAGTTTCAGAAAGGAAGACATTTTTTAAAAAGAAATTCCAATTTTGAACAAAATAGTGATTATTTCCCCAAATTTGCACCAGATAGAGCACCCATATTTTGAAATTCTAGATAAATGTCTGCACCACCATTCTATTTTTGTGACATCCTAGATTCCCACAGAAGACCCTGGAGCTGTTAGTTTGAGCAGTAAAAGCAACAATGTCACTGTCAAGGTGCTAGCAAAACCAGGAGCCAAATTCAATGGTGTCACAGGTGAGCATGTGTAGGTGGCTCCTCCAGTAAAAGCTATGATAACAGTTGAAGGGAAGTATTCTTATCCGTGTTTGTTTAGGACAGTCCAGTGTTGTTGCTTGTGTTACATGGATGTAAGATTCATCAATGCATTACAAGTTTACCCATTATGATACAAAACTCCTACCCATGTGTTGAGTCAATTGTTATTTCTGTATCAATGTGCAAAAAGTAATGTTTCCGAAGTTTTGCGATAACCCAGCCTGATTACTACTTGGGCTAGTGTTACCATACCCCACATCACTAAGTGCTCTCCCCTATAAAGATCTGGGTTAGATTTGGTCTTCAGCAACCTATGCTTGTCATAAGTGGACACTAACCAGATCAGATTTTCAGGTTCACTGCCGTAAAAGGCAACTATGCTTGTCGTAAGAGGCGACTAACGGGATCAGGTGGTCAAGCATGGGTTGCTGAAGACCTATTCTGACCCGGATCTTCACGGGTCATTGTGATGTGTGGAATCTGCAAGGATTTTGTGGTCATGGTGAGCTTCATAGCCTCTCTCTAGTCTCGTTTTAAGACTGACTGCAAGTTTCGTTGTGGTTTCCATTGCAGACATAAGCCCTGAAGGTGTTGGTGTGCAGATAGCAGCTCCCCCAGTGGAAGGAGAAGCTAATACAGAACTGGTCAAATATATGGCAAAAGTGCTTGGAGTTCGTAAATCTGATGTCAGTCTTGATAGGGTAGGTGAAGGGGTGGTCGGTCATAAAGCAGCATCTGTCAAAACATCCTGTCCTTATCATGCTTTTTTTTATATATGCCAAGAAAATGAGTAATGTTACTAATCTGCACTGAAAATGCTTCCACAAAATGTATGTACATGTTACACATGTTCACAGCATAACACAGTCTATGAATTTAATTGGTCTCCTGTCTCTTTCCAACCGCCTCCGTGGTCTAGTGGTAGAGCGTCCGCCTGGAGAGCGGAAGGTCCGGGGTTCGATCCCTGACCGCGTTATACCAAAAGACGTTAAAAGATGGTACTTGTTGTTACCCTGGCTTGGCATTGAGGGGCTAAAACAAGGACTGGTCGGCTCGGAGTCAGTATACTGTGTCTGAGCTGGGTATTCACGTTAAACTGCGGCATGGTATCTCAGTGAGCTAGCACTATAAATGGGCATCAATCCGGACTAGTACAAGCAGCCACACAAACATACACATGTACATCGCTATATAAGTGCAATAATCTTGGACGCGACGTTAAACCCCATTTCACCTCACCTCACCTTTCTCTTTCCATCAGTAGGTAAACAACATGTAGTAATTCCTGCTACTTAATTGTTTGCTTGGGGTAGTATGACAGCTTCTAACATGTCTATTAATAGTCTTTCTCGTGTCCTGGTACCATTTTTGCAATAAAGAACATCAGCCATCCTTTAGAAGAAGACTCATTATTAAATGAAAGTCCTATTTTGTTCAGAAAGTACTTTGGTATTACAAATTGTGATAGGATGATATATTCTTGTAACAAAGACCCTGCAATCATGTTGAACTTTGAGAAAAGACATTATCTCAATATTATCATATTATGTATGTTTCACAGGGTTCAAAGTCAAGAAACAAGACATTGGTGATTTCTGGAGATTTGACTGTGGATAGTGTGGTAGCAAGTCTACAAAGAGAGATCAGTAATGGATGAACATAAGTTTTCATTAGAAAATGATCTGTGCCACTTATAACTTGCCTGCTGACCACTGAGTGGTACTAAAGTAAGGCAAACTTCAGTTGAATGTCCCCTGTAGAACTACACAATGCAGTAATATTTCAGTTACTCTAGGAAATGCTAAAAGTACATCCAGCCCCAGGTATCAAGTTATCAGTAGTTTGAGACAAGCAGTGTTTATGCTAGACCATATAATAAACGAAGACTTCTGGGACCAAGTTAATTCATGTTAAGCAACGTATTAAGATAACAGGATGCACTGTATCGTTACTGATGCGGTCAGAGGAACACGTGGATTCAATGCTATCAATATTGTGGGCAGTATCTTGTTGGAAGTGTTATATTACCTCTTGAGAGTACATTGTATTAAGTATTGATCAACTGGTGCCATGTCTGTAAAGTTATGAATAAAAGTGATACTTTTCTGTATAGAATATGGTGTGTTCATCAGGTTAAAACCCTCTACAGTGTCCAAGATAACATGATACTGTAGATTTCATGCATTCTACCTTCAGGTTATAAACATCATGTTTTGAATTCAACATGTAACCAACAGGAATGGAAACTATAATATACCTAAGAATATTAGGTGAGAGAATATTATTCAGAAAAGTCCTTTGGCCCAAAATACATACAGTAGCTTACTGGGTATGCTATTCAGGTGCATGTATAGTAAGCATACATTTGTGTGTACACCAATAAATGAATTGAATAAACTGTCTGTCTGAATATGTTAGATGGTTGAGTTGTCAAGTGTGTTGTTAATCACTTGGAAGATTATATGTGAAGCCCATTCTCCTTGTCTACCTCTCATGATATTGCAGCATTAGACCTCATCCCACAATTAATCACTCACTGTTTTACCTGAAGAGAATGTTGAACTCATACATGGTTCATCAGTGCAACTGATCAACTCTGCGATGGAGCGAAAGTACTTTGAAGATGAAGATATACATACATTCTCAGTAGCCTTTGCCTGTGGTAAGATGTGGCTAAGTGGTTCACTTACATGGATCTGATGTTTGAATAAAATAATGAAATACATAAGACATCAAATGGAGCCCCACATTAACCATACACTATTTAATCCCTTTACATCAGCTTTACTCCATGGGAGTTGTGGGCGGTAATGTACTGTGCTGGGTGGCATCCCTTAGACATACCAGGATCCAGGTCAGGTTCAAATCCCAGGTGAAAACCAATGCATGTGATGATCATATCGTCTGTCAAGGCCACCATGGCTTGCACCAATGTGGTAAATATTTATGACCTGCATCAGTTTGGGCTTGCCTCCCACATTAGGCAGACGTTACAAGATGGTACTTGTTGTTACCCTGTCTGGTGCTCGGCATTAAGGGGCTAAAACAAGGACTGGTCGGCCTCGGAGTCAGTATACTGTGTCTGACTGGGGTATTCATGTTAAACTGTGGCATGGTATCTCAGTGGGCTAGCACTATAAAATTGGCATTAGTAGACTAGTACAAGCAGCCACACACACACACACACACGTGCATGCACATCGCTATATTAGTGCAATAATCTTGGATGCGACGTTAAACCCAATTTCACCTCAGCTCACCCACATTAGGCCGACTCAGTGTGGTAAAACTGAAATACTGTTCTAAGCAGAACACACTCACTCATCTACATGTCAACAACATTGAGCTAATTATTACTTGAATATTGAATGATCAAAACATATATTGGTAAAGATGTACATGTTGACCAATGGCCAATAAACTAACCCCCAGTCAGCTGAGCCATTGTCACATGACTTCCACTCCAGACAATATGTTCCACCAGAGACCATATAACGGTATATGGTCCCTGGTTCCACATTTGGGCATGTTTACTGTATGGCAGCAGGTGTCGTCCCTTGTACAGTATCATGCCTCATTCAATACACATGCATTCCATTACAATTTTATTGCTGGAAATGAAGTACTTAAGAGTTCTCATTGAAACAGCAAATTTTAAGTCAGCTTTGAAAGTGTTTTGAACAAGCAAGTGCAACTTCCTATACATAATTACTAGGAATGGGTTTTGGAAGTTTAAAGTGTATCACAATATTTTGCAATGCACTAGGTCATATTGCGATACATATCACGACATTGTATAATTCTAAATTTTTAATTCAGAAGCTGTCTGATACATTAAGGTATGAACTGATGTTCATGCATGGAACAAACAAGATGCTGGTACAACATGATGTTTACTCATTCAATAAATATGCAGTCATCTTTGGCCCCCGGATGCTCCTGAAGGAATCTGGCAAGTAATTAACATTAAACACATGATAAAAATCCCAATTTGAAATCACCCGATATATCCAGCATGACAAAATGATATTGTCATAAGTTTCGTGGAAAGAATGAACCTCAATTTACCGATATACCAGTAATACCTCACACCCTTAATAATTACAAGTATATTTGCCATAACATCTTTATTGTTGTGCCTGGAGACTGCTTCTGAATTAAAAATTTAGAATTATACAATATACTGTGATACATATCGCAATACAACCTTGTGCATTGCAAAATATCGTCAGACTTGTTTTGATATAAACAGGCAATTGTTATGATTTAAACTGATGTATAAAATCTTGAATCATGGATAGTTATACAGAATCATCAATCAGTAAACTTTTCGGTCATTCGGTCGTTCCCTGGGAACTCCGTGGATTATGACACTTGGAATCAGCAGTGTGTTATCATTAGACTGGATTTTATGAACAACTGTATATTTAGGCTATAAAGCTTCATCTAAACGAGGAAAGAAGATGATATTGATACACAAAAATGAAGGGACCTGTAATTTATTATGGAGGGCTGAGAATCAAAATGTGACAGTTTCAGGGTGAGGCAGGGTTCACTCTAGGCATTCACTGACATGGGCCCTCTATATGAACATTTCAAATGTTCCAGAGGTATGCCCATACTGCACAATGTTAAAATGCCCCATTGTATTTAAAAATGGGGGCCTTTTCTAAAATTTAGGGGCTAAAAGCACAAGGCCCTACCCTAGAATTATCCCTGGTGAGGGTCACACATTTTGTTGACAAGTTCAAGGGGAGGCTCATGAAAGGGTCAGATGGTAGGGTCACAAATACAAATACATATTTTTTTGTTGGTACTCTTGGCCCCAGGACCATATACAATTTTGTGCTGATCCCTGTGAGGGTCTTTTGTAGAAAATACAATACATATTACATTAAAATTGTAGCATGAACAGCACTTACCTCATGCACTAATATTTAAAATGGACTAAGTTCAGATCAATTGACAGTCTTAAAAAGTCGTCTCTCAAACTTCACATTGGTCCTCAATTTGTATGATTTATACCAATTAATTAGTTAATGATTGTCTTAATTCCACAGAGGCAATGCCCAAGTTCACTCATGACATCTCAATGGAAATGTACCATATGCATTTGTATAGGACAGTGGAAATAGACTACTTTCTGACATAAAGTCAAATGCTGCTTCACTAATGTTTAGATGTGTAGAAGCTAAAGCTAAATACTTTATCAATGATGAAACAATTACACAACATGCTGCTTCAAAAATTACCAGTTATTTTTTAAAACATAATATAAAAGGCTGTATGACACTGTAAAAAGAAATGAGTTTGTGTTCTCTTTCCATACAAAAATGTATGAAACAAGTGACTGATATTTCTTGATACAAACTATGTAACTGGAAACCGTGATCAAGTATAGCAGTGTATGTGGAGTGAGTGAACGTTGCTAAACGACACAGTCAGCAATTTTAATGCTATATCATAGCAGCCTGGAAACTATCCCACCAGAGATTTATTCCACAAAACGATCTAAGTGCTAAGATGATTAACTCCCATACTTAAGGACAGTCATAGTGCTACGATCGTGTTGTGGAACAGGCCCTGGTCCAGACAAACCAGTTGTTGAAAGCAGAAGCAACAGACTGCAATCAACCGTAACACTTACCCAGCTCATCCTCCTATTAGTTGTGCCTTACGAAAAAAAGTGATGCATTGGGGGCCACTTCACTGCCAAATGTTGTGTCACATTTCTGTTTAGACATACATCAAACACAAACATATCTATGTAATCACTATGGGCAATATATTTAAATCACCAAAATATACAAGAAATATAGAAATTATATTTACAATGAAAGAGAATGTTAACATACGGTAACTAGTTCCATAGTGATATAAAATGAAAATTTAGTGGATTTATAATCTTTGAACTGTAAAAACTCTATTGTAACTCTGATACTGTTTCATGGTTTGTGGTAAATCTTTGACCATACATTCATGTATTCCATATTCATACTCAAAATCTTGTCATTGCAAAAAGTGATCATCTTGTCTTACTGACTGTTGTTTTGTTGACAACAAACTGTTATACCTTTCCCCATTGTCATCTAAATATTTTCAGGTTTCAAGTTCAAAACTGTCATCATGGTGTCATTTTTATTTTCCTTGTCATCATCACCTGTCTTTATATTTATCACTGCACACTTTCTTGACTCACAGATTTGAAATATTAAACACATTTCTTGCATGGTTTCACTTTCGCTGTTCAACATGCCATCATCATTGACACCGCCCTCCATTTATTTTCAGACTCCTTCATCAATGTCATATTCTCCATTTTCCTCCTTTCTAGATTTGAAAGTTTATAATTTTCTTTTTTTCCAAACTCAATTCAGTAATCGTAATCTTCTTTTTCAAAATCCCTTTTTCTTGGTGTTCTTTTTGCAGACTCTAGGTAAACATACCGGTAGCAATCATGTCCTCATTATTTTTCCTCTTTGGTTTGCCTTTTCTGGACTGAAGGTCATCTTCCTTATCATTTTTGTTTCCCCTTCGATTTACTTTTTCCAGGCTCAACATCATCATCAGTACCTTGCCTTTGGGATTTTCCTTTACCAAGCTTACGATCAACATGCCCCTCCTCCTCATCATCATATTTCCTCTTTGATTTGCCTTTTCTTCACTATAGGTTGTCTTCATCATCATCTTTCCATTTTGATTTGCCTTTTCTTGACCTGAGGTCATCTTCCTTATCATCATCATCTTTCCTTTTTGATTTGCCTTTTCTTGACCTGAGGTCATCTTCCTTATCATCATCATCTTTCCTTTTTGATTTGCCTTTTCTTGACCTGAGGTCATCTTCCGTATCATCATCATCTTTCCATTTTGATTTTCCTTTTCTTGACCTGAGGTCATCTTCCGTATCATCATCATCTTTCCATTTTGATTTTCCTTTTCTTGACCTGAGGTCATCTTCCGTATCATCATCATCTTTCCATTTTGATTTTCCTTTTCTTGACCTGAGGTCATCTTCCGTATCATCATCATCTTTCCATTTTGATTTTCCTTTTCTTGACCTGAGGTCATCTTCCTTATCATCATCATCTTTCCTTTTTGATTTTCCTTTTCTTGACCTGAGGTCATCTTCCTTATCATCATCATCTTTCCTTTTTGATTTGCCTTTTCTTGACCTGAGGTCATCTTCCTTATCATCATCATCTTTCCATTTTGATTTGCCTTTTCTTGACCTGAGGTCATCTTCCTTATCATCATCATCTTTCCTTTTTGATTTGCCTTTTCTTGACCTGAGGTCATCTTCCTTATCATCATCATCTTTCCTTTTTGATTTTCCTTTTCTTGACCTGAGGTCATCTTCCTTATCATCATCATCTTTCCTTTTTGATTTTCCTTTTCTTGACCTGAGGTCATCTTCCTTATCATCATCATCTTTCCTTTTTGATTTTCCTTTTCTTGACCTGAGGTCATCTTCCTTATCATCATCATCTTTCCTTTTTGATTTGCCTTTTCTTGACCTGAGGTCATCTTCCTTATCATCATCATCATCTTTCCTTTTTGATTTGCCTTTTCTTGACCTGAGGTCGTCTTCCTTATCATCATCATCTTTCCTTTTTGATTTGCCTTTTCTTGACCTGAGGTCGTCTTCCTTATCATCATCATCTTTCCTTTTTGATTTGCCTTTTCTTGACCTAAGGTCGTCTTCATCATCATCAACATGTTTCCTTTTTGATTTGCCTTTTGACATGATGACATCAACTGATTGATATGAAAATTCAAACATTATTTAATAAAACCACATTTCCAAATATATTACTTTATTTTTACATCACTATCCAAGGTTCATACAGATCTGGAACACTACAATTGAAGTGTTACATTTTCAAAGCTTTTTTAGTTGGATTATTACTATTAGTCTTACACTCTCATTATTTTAGTAAATGCAGCATGTTACACTATTATATTATACTATCAAATGCACCATGACCACAAAGATATATTTTCACCCCCAACAAAAAAAATAAATTTAGTTTGTCATGAATTCTTCATTGTCTTTGGTACCCAAATCTATAACCGATAAATCTCAATCAAACATCCTCAGTTCATATTTTTGTGTGCTTTAATACATTTATTAACAAGTATATGACATTTTAAACAAATCTAAGGCTTCAAAAGCTATTTTAGTGATTTTTAAGGCTTTGAAATGTTGACACTAAAAAAACAAGGCTTTTCAAGAGGGTCCTTATAATTCAAGGCCTTTTCAAGCCTGTATTAACCCTTCTATCCGACACATAAGAATGGCTAATCTACAGTTGAACCACAATGTCTCAGAGTCATGTATCAAACTCCCAGTCTGGTGGGGTCATGGGACAGGGTGGCAAAGTCGTCTAAGGTTGTTGATTGGTTTGTTGTTTAACGCCGCACTCAGCAATATTCCAGCTATATGACGGCGGAGTGTAAATAATTGAGTCTGGACCAGACAATCCAGTGATTGATATCATGAGCATCGATCCACGCAATTGGTATCGATGACATGCATCAACCAAGTCAGCGAGCCTGACCACCTGATCCCGTTAGTCGCCTTTTACGACAAGCATAGTCGCCATTTACGGCAAGCATGGGTTGCTGAAGACCTATTCTACACCAGATCTTCAAGGGTCAATCGTCTAAGACACTGCAATTTGCTGTGCAGAGTGGCAGCCCTTGGGCACTCCAGAAACCTATGATCGTGGGTCCAAATTTTGGTTCTCCCTCGATATATTTATAGGTTTGTCAGCCCCATACCTGTACTCGGTCTTTTACCAAAGAGATAAAGATCGGAGACCTGCATCACTTCAGGCTTTTCTCCCACAGGAAGGTTACAAGCAGTGATATAAATGGGGTACTGTTCAAAGTGGCATTCAACCCAACTCACTCCAGTGCCTGAAAACTTACTGTATTTACCACTGTTTTAACCAGGATGTGTAAAATTTCCACCTGTCTTTAACTCAATTTATAGTTCAAAGAATAAAAAATATGTTAAAGCTTACTCTGATAAGTTGAACCCAATATTATTGAAAAGCACAACTTAGAAGATGCAAAAACTTTAAAATTGATGCAAGGACTATTGGAATAGTGCCATTTCTAACTCTGATACAAAAAGGTTGATATGACAAATGCTTTTTGTTTTTATTATTATATACATGTTATTTACCCAACATGCACAATGTAGTGTCTGATGTCTAGGTCAGACGATAATAAGATCTGTTTAGATGTCAAACTATTAAGCTGGTCCCCAGAAAGGGGTTTTGACTGTATTATTATTAGACATGCCACGTTACCCTGGTTTCCTTAATACTCTTTGTTTCTGCATTGATCACCATTACATATATCTATTGAAGATGATTTGCTTATGCCACCAGTAGTTGATTTTGACCCACCTTGGTTAGTGTCTGATGACCTGCCAGAGGACTTGGTATCAGATGATTTCGGTGTTACACGAGATGATTTAGTATTATCACTATCCACTTCCTTTACCTCTGTAGTTTGACCTCGGCTTTGTTGATTTTGGTCACCAGTTAGTGGTTTTTTGAAAGTAGATGATCCAGTCTTGCCCTGCTTGCCATTCGATAGTTTTACCTTGACATGAGCTGAATTTGACTTGCAAATGCATGGTTTGGACTTGGTTTTTGATGACTTTGACATCATTTTATTCAGTATTGCTGATAGGTCGATTTTATTTGGCAGTTGAGGCTTGCCACCTGATGATTTAGTCTTGTCCTGTTTGCCTTTATATGGTTGAATCTTCCCTCTGGATGACTTTGGATTGTCATTCGATGATTCAGTCTTGCGTTGATCACTTGAAGAACTAGACTTGCCATCAGGTGATACTTCATTATTGAGGTCTGTAGACTTTCTGTCCCCTGTATAACAAATAATTTATTACAGACATTTCTGATGACTAAGACTTAGACAATGACACAATACACTAGGCCTCAAGAGTTAGATATTTTTCTTGGGAGCCAAGTTGCTCCTAATGCTATCCAGGTACCCCTAAGAATATTCAAGAATCATCACGTTTCAGTCATACCTTGTCAGTGTTCACTGGGTCCTTGTGGTCCTGGGACCCCCTAATTTGAGAGCGTAACCATTTCAGCTTAACGGTATTTAGGGTCATGTACCTTCCTTATTGTGATTTACCTGAGCAGATGATCTCCAGTCATTACCCAACTTGCAGTTTTAGACTTGGGTAAGTGGTATTTTTCACCTCATGTGAACTTAAGTAATATGTGAGCGCAAGTTGTTGTGTGTATTGACAGTTGTCTGACTTAAGATGTTACACTGTCACTATCTCCTCTGAAACCACAAAGCCTATGATGCATTGCCATCTTTGAAATTAGAAAAGAATTCTGATCTGAAATAAACATGGCCAGAATAGTAACCATAATGAACTTTGACATGCAGTAATGCCGATAACATACCATACTTTGGTATATTTAAACCTTTTTACCCTACTATGACCACTGACATTATGTAGCTTACAGTGCAGCCATATTGAACATTTCTTGCTCATCGGTTAGTCATCACTGCAAATGTCGTTATTGTAAAAGTTTGTTGATATGGCTTAAAAAAAATACATAAGAATTGGTACTCTGGCAATGACTTTTGAAAATATAGTGCGGCGGGTGGTGTTTTTGTTTTGTTTTGCTTGTTCAAACTAGTATGTAACCAAATAAACAGTTGTGTACCATCAACTTGGAAAGAGCCTCCCTGCATAAACAGGCATATTGCCGCCATGAGCATTACAGGAGATGTGCTATATTGAATCTCATTGTTTATAGTGAGTGAGTGAGTGAGTTGGGTTTAACTCCGCTATTAACAGTATTCCAGTTATATCACAGCGTGTCAGCTTGATGTGGGAGGAAAGTATGAAGTGATGTAGGTTTTAGACGTTTACCACTTTGGTGAAACCCACGAGCATGGGTATGGTGCTGACAAACCTAGAAATATAAATGGGGGCGAACCGGGATTCGAACCCACAGTCATAGGTTTCTGGTGTGCCCAAGGGTCGCAACTCTGCACAGGGAATTGCGCACCTCAGACGACTGGGCCACCTGTGCCCCCTGCACTGTTAATAAGTATTTGGAATATTTTATTTTTATGAAAATGGAAATAAAAACGAAACATTCTCATGCGGGCAGTGCCTGAAAACCATGATTTTAATTTTCTTTTAGCCTATGAGAGAAGATTTTCTTACTCTGACCTTTGACTATCCATAGAGATAAAATTTGCCCACACCTTTCTGTCTCCTCTTCTGACCTTTGACATTCAAATAGGCTATGGTTGCTATCATTGACAGGCAAATGACTTTCTTACGGCATAATAAGTGTCAATATGCAAGTTTGTTTGTTGTGTAGCAACTCATCTTGTAATATTGTGTACACTTTGTAAAAAGCTGATGTATAATAATTTTTATGATTCAAATATTCCAGACAAATGCAGGTGAGCTACAGGGCCTAATGGTTCTAATTTGTCTATTCCAGGCATGGTTACATAGAGATAAAACTTGCCCACATCTTTCAGCCTTCTCTTCTCGTCATTCCTTTTGTCAGCCTCTTTTGCAGAACGCAATTTACTTGATACCTGGTTCAATAATTTCTTCAGATGATTTATGTTTCTCCTGAAATAGAATCACAAAGTCATTCCTGGCAAAATACCTGTACACAAAATGGTAAATGGAGTTGTCATAGCAGAAACATATGAGTTATGACTACATCAGATGTTAAAAAATCCTATTGCCCGATGCCCTGGACAAGTGAATTTTCAATTCAGGCAAACTAAATAAGTGGATAATATGTGAATGTATGATGTAATAGATGTAATTTATTCGATTTTGGGTATTGTTAAAGGTATCCTAAGGGATAGCAGAATTTCAAACATTTTGGGGTATTGCTGTAAGTTATCACTATTTAGGCTAGTACAGTGTTCCCATTTACCGGTAATACCAGTTTTTTACCAGTAAAATAAGGCTTTGACCGGTAATTCATGTGACTGCCAGTCCCTGTGGACCGGCAAATTAAGTACCTTATAAATCTTTGTTGTTGAACAAAACATCTGTGATATTCATATAAGTACATTTTTTCAAACAAAGTCTGCATGTCTGTTACCATCAGGGTCTCTCCTTGTCTATTTCTAGGATAAATATCCATTAATAGCAACTTCGTCTCGAATATTAAAAAAAAAGAAGAGAAAATTGTGACTGAAGTTTGTGTGAATGACGTATAGATCAAACTAAGTTACTTCAGAGATGACATCTTTGCACTGAACATGATGTTGAAAGAATTGAAACCAAATAATTTTCATGCGTTTTTTTATTTGTTGAAAGTTGGGACTGGCAAAAATTAGGAGGGACTGGTAATTTTAAGAGTTGCCAGTCCACAAGGACTGGCAGTTTCAAAAGCCAGCAGGAATACTGCTAGTAGAAGTTCTTGGTTATTTAGCATCCAAGCAATTAGTAAAGCTATAAAGTGCAGCGTTAGAAATTGGCACTAGTCCTATATTCCTTTCCAAACTGCCAAATAGTTAAGGTATCATTAGGACTATTAGAAATTGGCCCTTTTGAAGGGTTTTGCTATATGTTATCATTATAATGACAAGTAGATGAAAACTATTAGTTTCTACCGCTGAAAGTGGCTTGATTTTTTGGGTGGTTTATATCAATAGCCATTTAATTGCCATGGAATAACTTGCAATGTATTTATGAGTTGTTAAACCTGCTTTTGCTGTTAACTCACATGTAATGATGTAGATCACTACTCACTAATAGTTATTCCATAATCAGGAATGAAAATTGGCAATAGCCCACAAGCTGGAGTCAGTTTGACTGATGTATCCTGACATCTAATAGAATTTGAAAATTTTGAGAAGAGTCCCCATATGTTATCACTAATCAGGCAAGAAAATGGGGTTTCAGGGAATGTTGCATCCCTGCAAAAGTGCACAAAGACATTTTATACCTACTCAGTTTCTCACATGGCGTTGGTGTCCACACCAAGACTTGAAATGGGTACTAGGTCTTGCAAATTAGCATCTCTTAAATTTACAAACAATTAAAACAATTAAACTGAAATTATAATAAGCACAAGTGACTGCATTTTTAAAACCATAAATTAAAATGATAGGAAACAAATGTTCATAAAGTTAAACTTATTTCAAACTATCCATACAAGAAAATGCAAGAAACGCCATTTGAGAGTTATCCCTCCTAGCCACATGGTCTCTCATGACCTCACAGATGAAGCCCTAACCATCAAAGAGAGGTGAGGTGAGGTGAAATTGGGTTTAACGTCGCGTCCAAGATTATTGCACTTATATAGCGACGTGCATGCACGTGTATGTGTGTGTGTGGCTGCTTGTACTAGTCCGGACTGATGTCGATTTATAGTGCTAGCTCACTGAGATACCATGCCGCAGTTTTACATGAATACCCCACTCAGACACAGTATACTGACTCCGAGCCGACCAGTCCTTGTTTTAGCCCCTTAACCCTCTGGATGCCGAGTTTTTTTTCTGACGCACATTTTCCTAAGATCGGAAAAGTGAAGGTTGTGCGAGAATTGCGCTCACGCGGCACTGGATCTATCTCTGGCTATAAAATTACGCAGAGGTGGAGAATATTAAATTTCTTATTTGATAGTGTAAATTTAACTGTAAATATCAAACCGGTTTTTAAAAAAGACACTCCTAAGTGTTGTCCGAGAATTTATTCTGCGTTGAAAAACAGTAAATTTCTCCGCTTTTTATCGTACACCGATAAAAGTACTGTGCGACAATTTTTTTTATTAAGAAGCTTTACGGAAACTGTGAGCGAACAAAATACTGCCTAATATCTGAACGACATAACTACATATCAAATGGGGTTATATGCGTATGTATAACGACATACATTTAATTCCAAAAATAGCATGCCGTAAATGACGAAAACTGATTTTTCTCTATGACGTCAAAAGGTGACAGAGAGGTTACACACGTACAAAGAAAAGGGGGCATAACTCCGCTATGCTTAGCTCTAGTTTGTTGTAACTCAGGTCACTTGGTGAGAATTAACTGTGGGTAAGGACAATATATTTTCTTGGTGTTTTGTTCAGGAGGAACCAAACTATTCCAACACAAATATCAATATTGAAACTGTACACGTTTAGTTATAAAATATACCCATCAGAAATGATGAAATCGTACTTCATAAAAAGGAGGTAATAGAGAAATGGATGGCCTTATCTAACCTATAACTTTGTCCTTAGATTCCAACATTCTCCTGATTGTGTAAGTGTAATTTGACTAATGTTGCATCATTATTAATGGAGCACAAGCCTTACCACCAAATGTTATGAAATACCCTAAAAATAACACGATACCTTTTGACGTCATGGCTGGTTTTATGTCTTTGATAACGTCGGAAAAAGACGACACTGGTATATTGATTAATATATATCTCCCCTAATTTTCGTTCATGGTATGGAAAATCTCGATGTGTGGAACGGAATTTGACGCTTTTTCGACACAACATAAAATGACTGCTCTCACCAAGTAAATAATGTCTTGAATATGTAAACAATTAGAACGTTTATCGTGTATCTTAATTGGACAAGACACGCACCTGTTTGGCATCAATTTACGTAATGAAATTCCCAAAAGAATATTTCAAAACAACCAGAATTATATTCAATATTGGACATATATTTGTTCATGATTATGCTATTTTTTCTTACACAATTAAAGATGCAAAGAAAGCTCTATTGGTATAGAATTATCAGGGTAATCGTATACGTTTGAACCAACGGGGTACCTGGCATGGGTTTTATTTTTATACATTTTACAGTTCCTGGAAAGATAAAGTAAACTGTTTACTATCCTGTGATCACAATATTGAAACAATAATGTAACCATTGATTATATCATGCAAAACGAGACGAATAATTCGTAAATTGTTTGTGACTAACGCGCACCTGGTGAATCGTTAGATATCACTGTTCTTTGTATCCAACGACATAAAAGACAAATCCAAGACCAAGACATTTCAGAAATGTGTGCATATATTTTACCGAAACATATTATCCATTTTGTTAAAGTAATATATTCAGTTTTAGTTATAAAATAAAATGAAACGGCTGTTCATGGACATTGGTTATATGAACTTATAATATTGACTTATTACACATCCCAAGAAATATGTACATGCTGCAGTTACATTTACACTTCATCTTGTAACACTTGTCCAAAGGAAAGAAATATCGTAGTCGACACTATAAACCTATCACATTGTTATGTAAACAATGTTCAAACAAACAGGAGATTATCAAAGGTTCCTTCATGCATGTTGTGGCCTATATGTACGTATGATTTCATTTTGAACATTGACAAATATCCAAAGTTAAAATTAATTGTGTGAAAAAATGTATAAAAGATATGCAAAATATACACCATAACTGAAACTGTAAACAGCATGATACAGTGATCGTGTGCACTCTCATTCAAGGACCTTCACCTCAAAGAAATGACCAAATATGTACAACAATGTTGACGTATGACATCACTACCTGTGACCCACTTTTACAAAATGGCGTGTACACTTTCAACAGTACGCGGGATTGTATGAGAGGACTTTCGTTGATTCAGGGATCGTATAAACATAAATGTGACATGTAAGTAATCAGAAACATTCTGACAATCTATGTACTGTTATTTGTTGTCATAATTTTATATAAACAAACGGAAATAGTCAGAAATTCCGATAAATACCGTTGTCGTTGTGCGTGATTTTGCGTCAGTCATGGCGTCAACCAGAACGGTAACTTCTGTTGAAAATATCTAATCATTGCAATGTATCTATTTGAAATTCCGTACTTCTTCCTACGATTCTCTTCCCATGCATGTTCTGAAAATGTTGAGCCAATATATTGAACGAATAGACGAATGGATAGCTCAAAATAGGAGAATATGCTACACTGTGTAAAATCTGAATTTTGCTTTGTTTACATTTCAACCATGTGCAGTTTTTCGAGCACAGCGTTCGTTTTCACACCTAAGTTATTTTGCTTGATTTCATCTAGCCACTTTGTATTGGTGACAAAGACCACTGGTCATTTGATTCTAAAATGCATGAGGAATTCAAGGATGTAGGTATTGCAGATAAGTTTGAAATATACGTGATGTTACAGGCGTCTCATAACCGGTGTACCTGAAACGTGATTTTGTAAACACTATCCAATATGGCGGAAAGTTCACTTGGGCGTTCGTGTTTTCGTTTTTCCCAAAACATTCTAAACGATTCCAGGGTTATCGGAGACGTTTTGGAATGATCATTGGTGATTTCATAAAAGACAGATACCCGTGATCACTAATATGCTATTTTTGAAATTCATTTCTCCGAGTAAATATCCGAAATTTAGATTTCAAAACATGCTGTAAATAACGCCGTGAGTGTTAATTTAGTAATGTGTAAAAAATGGCGACATTTACGATGTACCTAATTTTCAGAGGTCATGTTCAGTACTTTTGCTTGGCCTAAAATGCCAGTGGATGATATCACAGGACAGGGAATTTCCCACCTTATTCAAAACTGTAAAGTGTTGTTGTGTGGGTGATGTATTTTGAATTTTATTCGACTTCAAAGTGAGGGTTGTAGAGGAGGGACATATATGTCCCTCTGGCATCCAGGGGGTTAATGCCGAGCGCCAGACAGGGTAACAACAAGTACCATCTTTTAACGTCTTTTTGTATGACGCGGCCCGGGATCGAACCCTGGACCTTCCACTCTCCGGACGGACGCTCTACCACAAGACCAAGGAGGCGGTCCCATCAAAGAGAACAAAATTACAAATTGTACAGTAGTGAACAAATTAACGGCAATAACATCTTGCTCATCTATGTGTGTGTTAAATTGTTCATCATTGACGGTATAATTGCGAGTTCATTATGTCATGATCTGAGAATGATATCGCAAGGAAAGTCGGCCCCCTTATGCAACAACAAGCAATATCAATTGTTTTCATATTTTCCATCTAACTAAGCATACCTATAATCTGTTATAGACGTATAGTACGGTAAACAAGAGACCTAGGCCTATAGGCCTTGTCTAACCGAAATCAGGATGACGGAATCAAATGAATTCTTACGTTTCTTCTTCAGCTTCTTCATCATAAGACCCGCCGTCTCGGGTTAATGTACATGAAACGCATGGAAGAAGAAGTATGCACAGAAGTGTTATCGGTTTCCACATTGAGAACGTTGTTTACTTATGACATGCTGGATAATGGTTTATGTTTCTTGCATCGTGTTTATCGAATGTTGTCTTTCGCTTCAGTTGTGTTCCACGTCATCAGTTTGGGCGTGACGTCATTATCGTTGCACGTTCTATATACCGCGAATAAATTGCCCTAGAAGGTATATTGGTCTCCAAGAGGCGACTATGTTTGTCGTAAGAGGAGACTAACGGGATCTGGTAGTATATGACATATACAATATCTTGCACCAATATTTTATTGCCCGTTTAAAAGTATTTATGTGCAGTAAGTATCTTCCATATTCGCCTCTTACAATGTTAAACCCTATAGTCACACAAGAGACGGAATGAGCCGGCAGCTGTCGGGACGAAAATTCTTAGTTTATTCCTGGATATTCGAAGTGCATTTTAAAACTTCTGAGTGCATTCTAAATATTCGGGCCCATTCTTGTGGCCGCCCCGAATGTTTTACTCTTGCTCAAAACTTTCGAGGTGCATTCGAATTTCAGAAATATCGAGCGGCATTCTAAGTGTAGTCAAACTCTAAATATTCTTACGGCATTCAGACAGTATTCGAAACATTCTGATCGCATTCGAGGGAGAATCGAAACGCCAAGCCACTTCAAATTCTGCCAGAATGTCCCGAATACGCCTCGGATGAGCCGGAATGCACGTCGAATGCAAGATCTTGATTGCTGCTGGAATCTATTTCCATATTAAAAGAATACAACTGGAATGCACTTCAGAACGTCCCGATTGGCCCTCGAATGGGTCCGGACGTCTTTCAGAACAGCACCGAATCGCATGAAAACGCGCCTGCATGGTCAACATCAACTCATGCCGCCTATAGGAAGAAGGGAGCCAAGGTCAAGAACTCCACCACTGGCCGCAGCCATGGTCGGGTGTGATATCTTCTGGGTCTTCTCCTGTTTCTTCTCCTGGCCTCCTCCATATCTCTTTCAAGCAGGTCTTGCTTGTGGACAGCAATCTGGAGCAAAGCAGCATGGTCCAGGGGGTCCATACTCTATGATGGTTGGGCTGAGACTGTTGAAAATGCTAGATTCGGCAGCATTTTATACCCTTTATCGGGGACCATTCCGGCGGCATTCCTGATACACCTTGGACATTCGTGTTACCTTCTGAGTACATTCTAAGTACATTCTTAGTATTCGAGCTGCATTCTGTTTGAATCTTTGGACGTTCGAACCATAATCGGTGTCCATTCCGGGAGCGTTCTGATTGCATTTGAGGTGAATTCGTACAGCATTCGAGGCACCTTCCAACCAGATTTCGCGCTGGCAGCAATCGAACCGCACTCGTGTGGCATTCGAAGTGCATTCTAAATATTCTGACTGCATTCCAACTGCATTCGAGAGCTAATACACCCGGAATGTGCAAGAATCATTCGAGGCGGTTTCGAAATGCATTCTAAGTACAGTAAAATTCGGTTATAACGAACTCGAGGGGACCACTAATTTAGTTCGTAATAACCGTAGTTCGTTATAAGCATACATACAGCATAATGGCATTCTTACAAAGGTTGGTCAATTTGAAATTCCCTCCCGAATGTGGAACGAATTTTGAAAATTCTTCATTCCGACTTGTACGTTCTGTTTGATTCCTGCTGATTCCGAAAAATGGTGACGGCGGCATAAGTTACTTTTAACTCCTGAGAATTGTTTACTGCATGGCTGATAAATGTAGTTGTACACATGTACTCGTTTACAATATCCAATTCCCCATATTCCGGCACCATATTACAATACTGGATACACATTTGAATGAAATAATTTAAACAAAAAGTTATTTGATATATATATTAAAGTTTAACTTAGCATGCAAATATTAGCTTACTCGAAATTGACAGGTAAATAGTGTCCTTTATAATATAATGGGTATAGGTTTCTCGGCAGGATAAAGCCAACGGATAAAAACGATATCCGTTTGGGTCATATGCGGATAGAGATGCAAATAACAAAGGTCAAGTAGGGACTACTTTCAGCGTTTGCGAACATGGCGTCGCCCTTGTCATTCGGCGATCGAGTCAGAATTAACCCTCCAGAATCTGGAAAAAAAATCTACCGGGATAATTGCTATCATTATCAAAAGAATAGTATGACTGTGTCTAACTGTGACGTAGCTAAGGCATTTTACAAGTTTTGGCAACTTTGGAGATATAAATTGCGAAACAATTTAGCGGGGACACAAGCTTAGCGCCAGTAGCTGGACCTGTTTCCATATTTTTGCTTGTAGGATTCTGCGGCTTGGAACCTTTTCTCCAAATTAAAACAGTTGGATATGACCGAAATATGTACTAATTGTTACCGTGTTTCGTTTTGTCGCCCTGTGTACATCTGATTGCACTTTGTAACGTTATGACAGGTCAGGCAGACTCTCATAGACTAGGTTTAGAGGAACTTCCTTTGATAAAAGGCAGTTAGCCTAGTCTAGTAGACATACAGATGGATTGCCGCGAAAGGTAAGTATAAACAATTTGTGTAGGCAATTGTTTTGCCTATATGTAGTTACACTATTGTATAAGAAATAGGTTATTGCCAAGGCTAGCTAAATACAATGAATATTCCTAATACAGGATATTTTCCATCCCCAAACTCACTCGCGTGATAACCTCTATTTCCAAAACACATGTTACAAATAAGTTCAGGCTGAAGTCGGATTCTTGGTATTCCATAAGCTTCATTCTCATAAGTCAGTTCATTGATAACAATAGAGAACGATAGACAGCCCTGTGTCGTACACCAAGTGCACATTCAAATCGTGCGGATAACTTATACAATTTCACATATGATATCACACAATAATAAACAAATGTATCATAATAAAGTTTAATAACATATTTCTAACTCCTCTTGTTCTTGCATACAATTTCCATCGCCGTTTTAATAGATAGCAATGTACTGGATTGCAGAATACAAAAATTGCCAGTAGTGCTATGTCCCCTACGAATACCGCTTGAGCTTCAAATATCTTTTTATGAGCATCACACCTTACGTAAAGTCAGATGTTAGTGCTCTCTAGCGTTACACAAAGTATACTATTCAAAGGTAGTTAATGACAACCCGATTATTACGTGCTACTATACAGTTAATCTTTATCCATGGCATTTAATTCTTTTTAGTGGTACATGGTTAGCGAGCACTAGGATCTGATTTTAATGAGAGTGCATATGCTGTTGAAAGGGTGTTCCTGATTAAAACAAGAATAGTCCCGAAGTCTGACCGTGCTGGAGATTTTTTCTGCCGATGCACTAAAACTCCCGTTGGTGCACTAAAACTCCCGTTGATGCACTTAAATCGCGTTGATGCACTAAAACTCTCGTTGATGCACTAAAACTCCCGTTGATGCACTAAAACTCCCGTTTTCAGGGTATTTGTCCTCCGCTGAATTATCATAATGCCATGTTTCTGTTAAGACCTAAAACGCATGGTATCATATGGTGAACGTTATAATGCCATGTTTCTGTTAGACCTATAATACGGTGGCATTTGGTGAACGTTATGATGCCATGTCTCTGTTAGACCTATAATACGGTGGCATTTGGTGAACGTTATAATGCCATGTTTCTGTTAGACCTATACTATCGTGGCTTTTGGTGAACGTTATAATGCCATGTTTCTGTTAGACCTATACTATCGTGGCTTTTGGTGAACGTTGTGATGCCATGTCTCTGTTAGACCTATAATACGGTGGCATTTGGTGAACGTTGTAATGTTATGTTTCTGTTAGACCTATAACATAGTTACATTTAGTGAACGTTTTAATGTCATGTCTCTGTTCGACCTATAATATAGTGGCATTTGGTGAACGTTATAATGCTATGTTTCTGTTAGACCTATAATATAGTGGCATTTGGTGAACGTTATAATGCTATGTTTCTGTTCGACCTATAATATAGTGGCATTTGGTGAACGTTATATTGCTATGTTTCTGTTAGACCTATAATACGGTGGCATTTGGAGAACGTTATAATGCTATGTTTCTGTTAGACCTATAATACGGTGACATTGGTGAACGTTATAATGCTATGTTTCTGTTAGACCTATAATACGGTGACATTGGTGAACGTTATAATGCTATGTTTCTGTTAGACCTATAATATAGTGGCATTTGGTGAACGTTATAATGCTATGTTTCTGTTAGACCTATAATATAGTGGCATTTGGTGAACGTTATAATGCTATGTTTCTGTTCGACCTATAATATAGTGGCATTTGGTGAACGTTATAATGCTATGTTTCTGTTAGACCTATAATACGGTGGCATTGGTGAACGTTATAATGCTATGTTTCTGTTAGACCTATAATATAGTGGCATTTGGTGAACGTTATAATGCTATGTTTCTGTTAGACCTATAATATAGTGGCATTTGGTGAACGTTATAATGCTATGTTTCTGTTAGACCTATAATATAGTGGCATTTGGTGAACGTTATAATGCTATGTTTCTGTTAGACCTATAATACGGTGGCATTGGTGAACGTTATAATGCTATGTTTCTGTTCGACCTATAATATAGTGGCATTTGGTGAACGTTATAATGCTATGTTTCTGTTCGACCTATAATATAGTGGCATTTGGTGAATGTTATAATGCTATGTTTCTGTTAGACCTATGATATGTTGTCAATGATTAGACTATAGGCCTTGGCAGGGCAACATTCCTTTCTTTGATTCGTCTTTTCTTCCTCTGTGCACAGAGATTGAGCAAGCGCCTGATTTCAATTCGCAGGTCAAGACTCTGCGTATTTCCCTGTTTTTGACGCCTGGTCATACACTCTAAACCGAAGTTTTCTATTTCTGAACACTAGACAGAACACATGGATGTACCAATTTTAGAACGCGTCCATGTGTTCTGAAAATATTCTGAACGCTGAACTACAACAGTAGTTATCTACAATTATATTAGCAAGTTTCGACGTGTTCTGAAGATGTAACACTTTAAGAACGCCTGTAAAGTGTTCTGGGACGAGATTCAGAACACTATACGTTCTCGGACACTTGCTTCTACAGTACTGACAAGTCAAATCATCGTTCGTGTCCATATTTTCTTTCAAGGCGTAAGAATTCAAACCAT